CTAGGTAATGTAATTAACAGAAAATTAACACATTTTTTGCTCCATTTCCTCCTGTTTTTTTTGCTATAATTATGTTATTCAGCACTGCTGTGAACAATAATCGTCTTTTAATTGTTACTTTATTCAAACACCACAAACATCAGAAATTTTGTCTTAATGTCACAAATTTTTACACTAGTGTGAGACTTCTACAATTTCACTTTCAAAAAAAGTGGGCATCTTTCAAAGAAAGATAATTTAAATGAATTCAGTCTCGCTTAGATTAATGTTTTTGAAAGTGTTTCAAACAAAACTGACATAACTTGTTTTTCATCTTTATAGAGTTATGTCATTGTTACATGTTTAAATATAAAGTTTATCAGGACATTTCATCAAAGATTCCTTCACAAAATATTTCAATACCTTTTACTAAACACCATGTTATCTATATTCGAGATATATGATCTTTTCTAAAAACTTTACACATTTTTTAAACGATGAATTTTACGTGCATTCATTTGTTATATCGTACAATCTCGGAGCTTTGTAAACGCCTGTTTGCAGGTCAAGACGGTTGTAAACGGTATGACATGCGTAAAGCTATGATCTATGACCCAACAAATAGCATACGAAATCTGATAACGCATCAAATTATATAACTTCTAACATGCCAAATATTTATTGGGATGAAAGTGTCATTCTTAACTTGTAGACTCCTGGGTGTTATGATCAAGTTACTTCTGACAAGTTTCAGTCAATTTAATTAATGCACTTTGATCATGAAAAAGAAATTACAAACCCTAATTTGAGCACCTATGGTAGTGACATGTATTTGTCTTTTTCTATTTTAATGTCTGTTTGTTAAATAATTTAAATGTTTTAAGGCAGACGAAATAATAATTCATACATTTTGCAACAATTACTCTAAAAACATCTTCTTAATTTCAATGATTCATCCCAAATTTCAGTCCAAAATGAAAACTGATCAAGGGGGTAATTTTATTATAGGCATATTTGTAATCAGTAGCAACATTCCTCTTGTACCAGGATACCCCCTTTCACTGATTACTTTTTTTGTTTTTATCCAACATTTTAATCAGAAACTACCATACTAATACAGGGTTAGATCAATTTCAAAAGCAGTTTAGCATGGGAGTTTTAATCAATTAGGGACATAATGTAAGTTACGATGACTAGTATTTGACGGCAGTAAGCTATGTTCATATTTACATGTTGATAAAAACCTTTCCATTTTATTCAATTACCCGAGAACGATCTCAAGGTCAATTGATTTATGTGAAGTCAGCTCAAGTTTGGTTATAGAATTGTAATATTTCTATTTTATGTATGCAATATTTTATAGTATACTTGTTACTATGTGTTGGCTTCATTTGCTTATATCAATATAGAAACGGAATCACTATATCATTTAATGCAAGTCTATACAATTTAATGTGTATGAGTTATTGCGATTACAACCATGTTTTACTTCACTGTATCATTTATTGCAAGCTGACACAATTAGTTTACTTTATACAAATTATTTTAGTTGGATTGTGTTGGAAGCTATAAGCTTATTGAAACACTCTTGAATCCCTTCCTGGAACCAACCAGTACTAAGCAATGTGCTCAAGGATACAACCGCTTGCCCCTGACAGGGTTTGAACCAACTCGGTCAGCAATCCTTAGATTACAAGTCTGACGCGTTATTCACTGGGCCATGCTGACACAAATGATCCTTTATGATCATGTTTCTACATTATAAGTGACCACTGCAGTGCAATTGAAAATACTGATATGAAACTTTGCACATGCCTTCTTTGTCAGTATTGAATGTCACTGACCAAGACTCATAACTCTATCATTGACTTTTACTGAATTATTCCCCTTGGTAATCTACCTCTTAAAACAATGTTGTTGCTGCAGTTACAAACCAGTTGTCTTTCAGAAATGACAATATCTTTATAAATATAACAATATAAATTTGGCAGTCCCCTGAATCAAAAGCAGAATTTACTGGAGTAGCTTAATAATTGTATAATTCTGTATGTAACACAAATTTCATTGAGCTGACAGGTTACATGTAAAATGTTTACCTGTTTATTGTGCTGAATTTATTATAATATTTGATATACAGAAATGGTAGTATAGGAATGACCGTATACTTTTGTCTGGCCGGAATATTTACATTTTGCATTATCTCCCCCTTTAGGACCTCAACTCCGAGGTAAAATCCTATTGACATTGGCGCTAGAGTAAACAGTCCTTCAGTGTTGATAGTGGACACTTTATGTGTAATATATCTTGTATTGTTTGCAAATGTGAATTTGAAAATTTTGAATACCGCGCTAATATTTGGTTACAGAAATAGTCTGAATATTGCTGATGATAAATTTTATTGTATCCCAGATAATTTCATTGTGCTATAGATAATTGTATTAGAAAGAGAGATAACTGTATTAGGCAGGCTTGGATTTAAATCATATTTATCTAGTGTGGACTATTTGGTTTGAATTTCCCAGTTGACAATAACATAATGTATAGTGTGCTAGAGTTAATTTGTGTTGATCGGAAGATGCTCTCTGTTGTAATAGTATGACACAATTTGTTGCATTTGTAAGAAAATATAGTGTAAAAAGTGTGTAGATATGGCTAATTCACAGTATTTCTGGGATTATTCTAGTAAAGGACTGCCATCTAGTCTTCTTGGACTTTTAAAAGGTATTATTTACTCTTATTACGCAAATATCTTAAATGCACTTGCCCTTCTTTCAGTTTGGACAAAACCATTCAACAAAGAAATTTAATGACTGCATATCTTGGTCTGCACTGGTCGCATGGGTATTTTCAGACTAAGGGACTAATTAGTCCTTTATTGTCACCTGACTGCACATTATTCTACCTCATTTTATAACAGCATGAATAAAAGCATCAGTGATGCTATCATTATAAAGCTATGTCAGCTTTTAATTATTTAATACTGCAAAACTCTTAAGTCAGCAATGAACAATTAATAACAATGTGTTTATAAAAGATGTTTTCCTCAGATATCACAATGTTCATGATACAGCATCATGTAATCTATTGTTGCAAATGGCTCTTAAGTTTTATATATGCAACACTGCCTCAAGAATATTACTTTAGAGCTTTATGGTGCTGAATGTCATTTGGTTTTATTCTTAATTAAAGTTATCCCTTGGGACTTTCCCTTGTACAAAATTTAGAAAATTCTTTACATTTTTTCTCATAGCGAATTAAGTTATGGGGACTTTCGATCAAACTCAAGTGTTGTTGGTCATGTTAAAGAAATAATTTGTGACATGACCTTTACCAGTGCTCTCTACATTACAAGCTGCGACCGACAAGATCACATTGACAATTATTTAAAACATAAATACTCGGCTTGCATTTTTAAAGCTTGCAAGGATCACTTCACCAAGTGGGAGTGCAGCTGTGCAGTTTCCTGATTAGTATGATTACCATAAAAACATAGTGAGACTGTTCAGAATGTGTTGTAGTAGTGTTTGTTATAAGTTGTTTGATTGTTAATACATTTGATTGTAACAGTTTTGATAAGGTCTGTACCAGTTACAAAATGGTTTGATTTCTTTTGCATGTTGAATTTATTGAGCATGTAATATTGTTTCAGTATTTTGAATACATTTACCTGTATAGTCACCATAGTTCAATTTGTATGTAAGATTTTTAACACCTTATATAATTTTACCTTAATATCTTAAATGGACTTGTGAGTCTTCTATTATGGACAAAACCATTTATATTTCAAAATAAGCTCTAACTGAATAGGGAATAATGAACATGGAAGTCTGGAGAACATGGAAGTGCTGGCTGAAGTAGATTCGGTTTCTGTATTAATAAAAGTTTGTCAAAGTTTTTGTTTTTAATACAAAAGGTAAAATAATATTTTCATCACTGTAATTGTATTTTAACAAATGACCAGTTACCAATTTGTGTGCAATGTACATGACTGTACTCAAATAAAATGAGAGATTGAATATATTTAAGATATTTAAAATATTTTAATGACCATATTTTCAGCGTTTAAATGGAGTTTAATGTTGACCTAGTTATGTATTATTATATCAACTTTCCTCAACATTTATCATATACCATATAACAAGATATATGATCTGATTAACCTCACATAAATCATGTAAATATATGGAAGAGTTAAGGGGGTTTTTATCTGTAAAATAAATCTCCTTCATGTTTGATCAGTATACCTTACCAAATTATTGGTCCAATACTGCTAAATTTGAAAATTTTAAAGGTTTCACACTGCAAAATTATGAAAGAGAGCGAATAAGGAATATAAATGTTTTTTCTTATACACAGAAATTGTTGCAGAATAGATATATTTCCATTACTATAAACCCAGACATAGAATTGCTTGTTTGTTAGACTGACTGTGTTGGTTTAAACATATTTATTTAACCTTGATTGTGAAACAAGTTCTTGCAACTTATATTAATCACTTTCGAGTCTGCTTCCTGGAACCAACCAGTACTCGTGCCATATCAAGAAACATGGTTGTGACCTGATTATGGCTCAAACCCATGATCTCTGTGTTGAGAGGCAGACACCTTAACCACTAGGCCACTGCTCCCCTATGCACTTTAACACCATACTTGAAGGTCAATGAATTCCATTCCTGAAAATCTACTATCATTAAACTATATATCTTAAATTCATGTGGATAGTTAAGTTTGTTGTGAAAGGGAGTTAATAATAACTTTCTTATTGAAGAAAGGAAAGCACATACATTATTATGAGTAGTTAAAATGTCAGCTTCTCAAACTAGCAATTTTAGGTTTAATCACCATTTGATCAGAATCTGGTCTATTGAGTCTTCAAATGACACCAGTACTGGTAACTTAGTCCAGTTAATTGATGTACATGTAGCTTCAAACATAGTGGAACTATGATTACAATTAAAGGTGTACAATATTTTATTATTACTAATATATTGTTTAACTATGATGTGTTTTTTTAAATTTCAGATGAAAGGGAAGATGTCCAGAAGAAAACATTTACAAAGTGGATTAACTCACAACTTTCGAAGGTAAATCTTCTTTTTTTAAACTTTATAGTTGGGGTTTGATCTCGGAGGTTTCTATGTGCATTATAATGCAGGCACAAGCTGGCGTAGCAGTGAGAAAGTTGACAACATTTTAGCCACGCAGTCTACCTGTAGAAAAATAACTTTGTCATTTCTGAACACATAATGCTAGTCTCAGAAAGGCCGACATGAATGTCAGTTTTGAAGTAGACCATAATGCATCACATGACGTGGGTTTTTAAGACATTTAAATTCAAGGGGATTTAAGATTTTATGATACATTGTTAATGTTCCTTAGAAATTGTTATTGAATTGAAATTGATGGAAAAGCATGCAGCATATTATGTTGCACTCCCTTGTGACAAAGAAATAAAAGTAATATCTGCTTAATCATAGAGCTATGTTTCCTTAGAGAACTGAAGTGCAACATTAATTTTGTTCCAAAATCAATAATTCTAAACAATATATTCAACAAAATTTAATCAACTTGAGGTTTTTTTGCAATTTATGTATTTTCTGGAAGACATCATTGGAAAAAAAGTTTTTCACGATGTTTAGCAGACGTCAACGGTATGAAGCAGACGACAAGGCATCTCAGGAGAAAACGTGTTGATTACGGCGTTTTTTATCTTATACTGCCTATATTGATTATATTATCAAAATGAATATTCATTAGTTAAAGATCTTCTTTAACTAATGAATATTAGTCTCTATTAGAATGGAGTCTCTATCAATGCTAGATTTCACCTGTTACAGTTAGGCCATGTTTTTTACTCCATAGCGTACAAACATAAATCTGACTCCTAAACCTAATAGGGAGACCATCAGATTAGTAATCGAGCGATAACTAGTTCGATCCTGGAATGAGACGAAATTTTTCTGTGACAATTAATCATGGACATTGTGTCTAATGGTCATTTGTCTCAAACTGCTGATTCAAATCATGTGGGAGTAGTAGTCGGTCACTTGGGAAGAAATTCGTAATAACTGGTCAGTTTACCCAGGAAAGCTGGTTAGATGAATCTGCTGCCAAGATATAACCAAATTAAGTATGAAAATTGGCGTTAAATTAATTGAAAAAAAAAACGAAAACGAAAACACCAACTGACGCCCTCTACTTCTAAATTTTATTTTTAAGTTAAGAGGGATTTTAAAAATATCAATGAATGTAGTCTGATTGAGTGATACTGAATCTACTGATTTGTAATTGACCAATAGTAATGTTCTATTTCAACCCTTAATCTGCTTTGAAAAGGATTAGCCTTTGCCACCAACATAATGTCGATATTGCCAAGGTTGTAAGGGGTAAGACTAGTTCAAGACCTGTAACCCGTGCATTACTCAGTTATCAAAGATGAAATGACAGAAATCAAGAGTTATTTTAATGAAATATATAAAACAATTTTTAGTTAACTACTAACCTATTTTTTCAAATAATTTCCATTAAAGTTTGTAACTTTTAAGAAATATGGGATTTTTTTTGCACACTTTGTCATCATTGTTAAATTTCTTAAAACATGGCAATATATTTTTTATCAGACTCAGACACTTTTAACAAACACAGTGAAATTTGGAGAAAGACTGAACTTAATTTTCAGTGGACATAATCCGTCTCTGTTTTTAGAGGTTAATTGACAGTTTGCACCGTAAAGAGACAGAAAATGAAATACAAAATGGGTTTTGCATGTTAAAAGACCCATTACAGACAGTGTTTGATTTAATAAAGACCGTCCCAAGACAGAAATGTTACAATGTTTTATTTTGTGTACCAGTCTATATAGTAGTCTACTGTATTATCCTGTAGACTGTGTCTCACACATTTGCTGGATCGGAAAATGACTTTAATAGAAGAAAATCACTAGGTCATCGACTATTGACTTAACTTGTATTTAATATGAAGTTTATTATGAATTGAAAATAGACCAGTGAATAGGCCAGTACATAAAAGAGCAATAACATTTCAACAGTTAAGTTAAGAAGTTAAATAAGAACCCACAGATTATGGCTAAAAGGGACCAAACTGTCACTCATATACCAGTATATAATTATTGTCCTCGGTTCACATAAAAAAAGGTAAAGGTCTTGTTTATTATAGTGTCACCCCTACTGAAAGGGCCAGCCATTTCTGATTTATGAGACTCCTTTTGCTTGCATACCATGTACCTCCCACCTCCTACCACTATGCCAGACGCCAGGCGGATATAAATCGGTAACCATTCATTTTAACTACCTCTTGGCTCACAAGAAACATTCATCCTTCAATTAACACTCCCCAAGGGACTCGAACCTTCAACCTCCCGATCCGAAGGCGGACACCTTACCCACTAGGCCAATTGCAGATCAGTATTACTGGTATATTGTTACATCACAGTGGTTTAATTTTGTTATATTGTATATTTTCAGTCTGGACGGCCAGTTTTGGAAGATCTATTTACAGACCTGAGGGATGGAACACATCTTCTGTCCCTCATTGAAGTCCTCAGTGGTTCTCCTCAGGTATGCTACAAAGATTTATCCTACTGAATTTATGTAGCAGACTCCTCATGCTTTTACATTTCAATAGGTCATTGTTGATTTTTCGACTATTTGAAGAGTAGGGAGAACATTAATTTGTCACCTTAGTGCAGTAACAGGTTAACTCCTCATATAATTATGCCCCCATTTCGAAGAAAAGGGGGTATATTGCTTTGCACTTGTCGGTCCGTCGGTCCGTCGGTCCGTAGACCAAATGGTTTCCGAGTGATAACTAAAGAACCCTTAGGCATAGGAACTTCAAACTTGGTATGGTGATTGGTCATGACCAGTAGATGACCCCTATTGATTTTGGGGTCAAGGGGTCAAAGGTCAAGGTCACATTGACCTTGAAAGCAAAAACGGTTTCCGATCAATAACTAAAGAACCTTAAGGCCTAGGAACTTCAAACTTGGTATGGTGATTGGTCATGATCAGTAGATGACCCCTATTGATTTTGGGGTCAAGGGGTCAAAGGTCAAGGTCACATTGACCTTGTAAGCAAAAACGGTTTCCGATCAATAACTAAAGAACCTTAAGGCCTAGGAACTTCAAAATTGGTATGGTGATTGGTCATGATCAGTAGATGACCCCTATGGATTTTGGGGTCAAGGGGTCAAAGGTCAAGGTCACATTGACCTTGAAAGCAAAAACGGTTTCCGATCAATAACTAAAGAACCTTAAGGCCTAGGAACTTCAAACTTGGTATGGTGATTGGTCATGACCAGTAGATGACCCCTATTGATTTTGGGGTCAAGGGGTCAAAGTTCAAGGTCACATTGACCTTGAAAGCAAAAACGGTTTCCGATCAATAACTAAAGAACCTTAAGGCGTAGGAACTTCAAACTTGGTATGGTGATTGGTCATGATCAGTAGATGACCCCTATTGATTTGGGGTCAAAGGTCAAGGTCACATTGACTTTTTAAGCAAAAACGGTTTCCGATCAATAACTAAAGAACCTTAAGGCCTAGGAACTTCAAACTTGGTATGGTGATTGGTCATGATCAGTAGATGACCCTATTGATTTTGGGGTCAAGGGGTCAAAGGTCAAGGTCACATTGACCTTGTAGGTAAAAAACGGTTTCCCAATCAATAACTAAAGAACCTTAAGGCCTAGGAACTTCAAACTTGGTATGGTGATTGGTTATGACCAATCAGATGACCCCTATTGATTTTGGGGTTAAGGGGTCAAAGGTCAAGGTCACATTGACCTTGTAGGTAAAAACGGTTTCCGATCAATAATGAAAGAACCCTTAGGCCTAGGGACTTCAAACTTGAGATGGTGATTGGTCATGATCAGTAGATGACCCCTATTGATTTTGGGGTCAAAGGGTCAAAGGTCAAGGTCACATTGACCTCTTAGGTAAAAACGGTTTCCGATCAATAACTAAAGAACCCTAAGGCCTAGGAACTTCAAACTTGGTATGGTGATTGGTCATGACCAGCAGATGACTTATTGATTTTGGGGTCAAGGGGTCAAAGGTCAAGGTCACATTGACCTTGTAGGTAAAAACGGTTTCCGATCAATTTACTAAAAACGCTTAGGCCTAGGAACTTCAACCTTTGTGTGATGAATGGTCTTGACCAGCAGATGACCCCTATTGGAGTTTTAGGTGAAGGGGTCAAAGGTCAAGGTCACATTGACCTTGTAAGTAAAAACGGTTTCTGATCAATAACTCAAGAACACTTAGGCCTAGGAACTTCAAACTTGGTATGGTGATTTGTCATGACCAGCAGATTACTCATATTGATTTTGGGATTAAGGGGTCAAAGGTCAAGGTCACAATGACCTTGTAAGTAAAAACAGTTTCTGATCAATAACTAAAGAACGTTCGTCCTAGGAACTTCAAACTTGGCATGGTGATTGGTCATGACCAGCAGATGACCCCTATTGATTTTGGGGTCAAAGGTCAAGGTCACATTGACCTTGTATGTTAAAACGGTTTTTCGATCAATAATAAGAGAACCCTTAGGCCTAGGAACTTCAACCTAGGCATGGTGATTGGTCATGACCAGCAGATGACCCCTATTGATTTTGGGGTCAAGGGGTCAAAGGTCAAGGTCACATTGACCTTGTAGGTAAAAAACGGTTTCTGATCAATTTACTAAAAACGCCTAGGCCTAGGAACTTCAAACTTTGTATGATGATTGGTCGTGACCAGCAGATGACCCCTATTGAGTTTTGGGTCAAGGGGTCAAAGTCATGACCAGTAGATACTTTATAACCCTTATTAATTGTTTGATCACTGGGTCAGAAGTCATGCATTATAACCTTATCACATGACTAATTGGCTGCTGATAGGGGGCATACATGTTTTACAAACATATCTTGTTCAATAGGAGTTAACCTGTTACTGCATTATGGTGACATATCGGACTCATCCTGGCATCGGCATTGCCATCACACTTAGGTAAACGTTTTTCAAACAAATTGGTACATGTATCAGCAAATTGGTTGAAACTTCTAACACTTATTGTCTTTCATTATCTATCATGAAGGGCACAGTTCCCATAACTCTGATTACCTTTTTACCGAGTTATGCCTCTTTTCTTACTTTGAAGCACTGAAAATAGTTGAGCATTCTGTCTTATGAACAGCTCTTGTCATGAGACTTAAATTAAAGGTTCTCGACATATTAATTATGAGACTTAAATTAAACAGTCTACAATGAAGAGTCTGGTCAGACTTATTGGATGTACTGGCTGACCCCTGGCTCTAAGATGATAGTATATAATCTATACTACAGACATGACCATGTATAACCTTATTATAAATAGATATTTTATATACTTTGCAAGGCAACTTTAGCATCAAGGAAGTAAAAGAATTATTGGAAAATATGAACTCCAATCAGAGCTATTGTTCTACAATATTATACAGCTCCAACGGGTTATGTGATACAAGACTAATTGATCATTTAAAATACTTGGAGAGATCATTAAAATCAAGAAGGGACATTAGGTCCTTGAGTTCAAAAGAGAGCATGTTAGGTGCATATGCCTCTTGTTCTTAAACTTGAATACAGTGGTTTCAGGTGCACGGTAAATGAAAACATTACCTATTATTGGAAATTCCTGTTTCCCAAAATGATGTAAATGATTATTAAGAACTATTCACGATTTGGTTATTGTTATGTCCCTTTATTTCAACCCATTATACCTAATATCACTAAAAAAATCCAAATTTTGCAATAGGCTGGCAGTAAATAAAATGCAGGATATGTATCCAAATTTTTCAAAAGGGTAGGATAAAAAAAAGAGATGCAGGATATGTAATTAAGTGCTAGTTTTGTTGAAGATGTGAATGTTTGTGTGTGATAACATTTATTGATGCTGGCTTGGTAGAGCTGCGTAAAATTATTCTGAGGATTCCCCTGTTTGAATCCCCGTCGGGCCAGGCTGCACATTTTCATCCCTATTAGTAAACAATTTCATACATTATTATTTATTGTATGCAAATATTGGGATGTACCTGTAATAAAGGTGTTTATGTTGATGTACCTGTAATAAAGGTGTTTATATTGATGTACCTGTAATAAATGTGTTTATATTGATGTACCTGTAATAAATGTGTTTATATTGATGTACCTGTAATAAATGTGTTTATATTGATGTACCTGTAATTAAGGTGTTTATATTGATTTCAGGTGAGAGAGAAGGGTCGTATGAGAGTTCACCATATCAACAATGTTAACAGAGTACTTGAGGTGCTAGAAAAACAGTGTAATGTAAGTTAATTACAAGTCTCCAATTGACTTAATGTGCTTGTTTTGTCGATGGTTAAGAGTTGATGGTTGGACTCTTCTGTAGCCAAGTGATAAGGGTCATTGATCACTGAGTTCACTGAAGGATTTGTTAACAAAAGTTGAATTCCTTCTTACAAGTGAGCTAACTAGCTTACTAAGAGATCCCCTCAATGCCACGTTTAGCAACTTAAAAATATACAGAAGGTTGTTGGTTCTTCCTTGTTCTTATCTACAGTAAAACCTCTTGCATTTCACTTCCAGTAATTGAAAAAAAAATATCAGTATAACCTTAATAGTGTCATTGACTTAAAACCACAACATACAAGTCACTGTTTAATTTAGTTACGTTATTTGACTATTTTTAGGGTTTCAAGGATGTTTTGTTGTTAATATAATAAATGATACACCCACACAAATAATCTGTCATTCAATGTTAGCAAACTTTACTGTACAGATATGGGAAAAATAATAAATCATTTAAAAAATTAACTTTGATGATTTAGTCAAAATGCACAAGGCAACTTGTTTGTTGGTGTAAAAGAGTGAATTTCTTAAGTGTACTTGTTCAGCTTCAATTTTTGGAACTGTCCATTATCAATTCTTGGAAATAAGAAGTTGGTCAGCCAGCAGTATAGAGCCTGGTCAGACTGCAGGAATGTGTCGACAGCTGGCTTGGCTTTATACTGCTGGTAAAAAAGGCAAACCACTGTTGATTTCAGCAGGTTCAGATTTAATGTGTTAAATCTGACATAACATCACTTATTTTGAATTATAATTTTGACATTAAATGACTATAAGCACATGATGTTAGTATTCCTGATACTTTAATTAAGTGAATCTAACATAAAAAGCCACATGTTAGAAATATTGCAGTTTTAGACAGTACTAATTTCTTTTAGATAAATACTTTATATTGTAAATACAAAGTGTGTCTTATTAGCCTTATTGTACTTAACTTGATACGATTCTGTTTTCTTTAAACTAATTCAGCGTGCATAACAGTCTTAATGTTATACTTGTCTTAAGCTATGTCTAACTGTTTAATGTTAATACTATATCATTAAAGTAAAACATTTCATTCATAAACATTTTGACGGTAAGTTTACAACCATTAAATCTCCTCGTATAGGTGTCACAGCGATTGTGCCCGATTTTATGCATCAGTAAACGACTATTATAACAATAGAAAACATATAAAACGAATGAACCGATCAGTTGTAAACAATTACTTTAATATTTCTAATAGATAATGTCCTTGATTTTTATATAGAAAAGAGAATTTTCTGTTTCATATATTGATATCTATGACCTTGTTTTTACAATATTTGATAGCTATATTGTATAAGTGGATGGGTGATTTAATTAAAATGACTACAGCAATCATTGATCTTTGACACAATGGCGTTCAATGATTTATGGAGATAAATGAGATATAGTATAGTGAATGGAGATATTAATATACCAGATAAATGGATTAAAGTATTTGACACAGTGTGAAGTCTGGATGGAGTTGTTTTAATGGATGATTGATCACAATAAATGTGCAAGGGAGGCAACTCTAGCAGGCTTGTTGAAGGCTACTCATAAGGCTACTCTTCATTTTGGAGGTGAAATCTCTGGTTTTAACATGGGAGCAGTGTAGAATTTCATACTGTGTTTTGAGATAGTCTGGAGTTCATGCAGTGAATGTTTTTACCAGATATATATCTACCAGATAATTTTGGATACAGTCACAATATTTCCTGTGTTCACAAGTTGTGTTTTTACCTTGGATTTATTTGTGTCATAAAGTGCTTAAAACATAACTGGATTATATATACCCATGTAAACTTGGATTTTAAACCTTTATAGGTATGGATATGTAATCATGTAATTTCTGCCCCGGTCTTACATTGACATGCATCAATCTGTTTTTATTTAGAGATAAGATATATCAAATTTATCAGTTTCATAAGGAGATTATCTGCATGATTTCAAGGACATGTGGACCTGGTATATAGTAAAATTTTGCTATGAATGAACATGTTGTATTTGTTTAAAATGTTAACTTCATGCACCTGTCATATCTAGACAAGATAACAAAGTTTAGTGGTTAAATCAACACAGTGAGTACATTGTTGCTTTTATATTACATGTTTCACATGTTTTCTTGTATCAGGGTAGGGACCATTCTTGGTTACAGACATTTTCATGTTAATTATTTAAAAACAAACAAATTTTAGGGTGTAACTGTAGCTTTTTATGACAGACTTTTCATTTATCTTTAATTGACTAATTAATTTATTAGCTCTTTCTTCTTCATTAATTAATTAATTTTTAATTGACAACAACTTTACCATTAAGATCAGAGGCAATATGTTTCCATTTACTGGAGAAGGTAGACACCAGCTTCCCCTGGGTTGACCTAGCCCAACCTGACAAGAAAAAAAAATTGATTGGTGATTTATTATTTCCAAGAGTTTGACAGTATTAATTAAGAAAAACAGCCTGTAAGATGGTTCAAAATTTATTGAAATAAGATTGATCCAGATTCATATTAATTTTAGTCCCTTAGATTTCCAAAATTGATACATGTATAATGTTTCTTTGATGCTACAACTTAAAAGGTTCTTTAAGTGAGTCAGACATTTAATTTGTCTTGCATTAGTTTAGATTACCAGCTATCTTATCTAGTGCATTTTTTATGTGTTTAAGTTTTGCCTGCCATGTTTAATTTGCATAGCTTCTAAGTGCTTTGCAGAAATTCTTTGAAGTCAGTAAAGTTTTAATGATTTAAATTTTTTATGCCTTTTAACTTTTATGAATATTAGCAGAAACATTTGCTTGTATGCTAAATAATTATCTTGTTTTGGCAATAAGTAAACAATTAACCTCATTAAATGTTCACATTAAACATTCCAAGTTCTGACGTTAAAACTGTCCGTTAATTATGAAAAAGAATTTTGATATTAATATCATACATGCCATAATGTCCCAGACATCTGGGACTGTCCCGGAAATCTGGTGACTGTCCCGGAGGTGTCTTAGAGATCATGTGTGTACTATGTCCCGGTAAAAGTCAAAAACTGTTCCAGAAAGTAGCCTATCAATTATGGCATGCATGTTAATATGCTAAAAATTAAGTTGTGGACAATATAGATTTGTGTTAGACTACAAGGTCATGGGGGCTGATTGTGGCTCTATATATTCTGCTGGCATAGATTTATAATAATTCTTAATTGTAGCAAGCATCACACTAATTTTAATAAACAATAGTAACGTATGTTAACAGTTGACTTAAATATGGTATGCTTCACAATTTGATATGTGTCAAAAATGATTGATTTAAAAAATGAAATTTAAAAGTCGTTAAATTACAACCTTGTATAAAAAAATAAATATGTCATTTTGTACGCATTGAGGCAAATCACAGTATTAAAATGAAATATAGTAATTTAATTAAGTCAAGTTTCGTGTGTGTAAAAAAAGATAGGAGGACTTTTAGTATTAAATGATAAATTTAAGTAACTGATTATAAAAGTAAGGTTATAATTGGTTTGATAACTAAAGAAGCAGAAATATGTTTATAGAAAATTTACATAATTTATCATTACATGTATGTGATAATGTAATCATAAAACAGGTTTTTAACATATTAATTAATATACCAACCTCATTTAGTCTAATTCTAATCTTATATCTTTCAGTATAAAATCATTTTATATTTTAGAAAATTAAATAATTCCTAACTTAAAGTGCATTTTATGTGGATTATAAGTAAATGGGAAAAAGGAAGGAGAGCTATATAACATTCTGTATCTCTAACTTGCAGAATTTGTATAACAGATTTTCACTGCCTTGAATAAGGAACATTCTGTTCAAAGATGAAAGGATTTCAATATCAAAATACATGTACATGAGCAACCAACCATGGAGCTAGAGCCTGGTCAGACTGCGTGGATGTGCAGGCTGGCCTAGCTCTATATGATCATCCTCTATATACTGGTGGCAAAGGCTATTTAAATGATAATTACTTTTTGTTCCAGCAGGTAAAGACGAGATCCTGAACACATTTTAGTTAACTTATTCTTTACTTGAAAGCAGTGATATTGAAATTGTTCATAGTTTTCATTGTTTTCATTGTTTTGTGCACTGCTGTTTCTACATGTATTTATTAAGTTAGGCCTTTTTCATTTCTCTTTGAAAGCATTTTGATGACAGCTCTTCAATTGTTTTCACCCAGGACAATGCTAACTTGTATAATTAAGTTTATTAGAGAAACAGACAAGCATGTACAACTGTGATGTGATGAAAGCTAAATACCTTGATAACAGGATGTTACGCTAGATAATTGAAATGTTTGTATTGAAATATATTTGTATCTCAAACCTCGGAATGTTAGCCACAATAAGTCACCACATCTATGCTTCCAGTATTAGAACCAACCCAACTCATAAATCCATTACATAGGTTCTAGAGGGTCAAGATTAATGGTTCTAGAAAATTTGTCTTAGAACCTTTTGTTGAATAGAAAACAAAAGAAAAACAAACACTCCATTATTATGTAAGAAATATATAACTTTCTGGGTGTCAGAACTCCTTGCAAAGATGCCAAAGAAAGGTGTACTTCTACCAGCATAGATCCAGGATGGCTTGCACATTGGCTTTGTGACATATATTTTGTTGCATGCTCAATTTCAGTATGCTGTGAACTTGTGATTGATGGTAGACAAATTTATGTCACGCAAAAGAAAAACATCCATGGGACCCTTTTCCTTCAAGTTTATTGCATATGAAAGTGTTGAGTAAAATCTGTGTGACATTTGCTGCAGAACATAAAAGAGATCAAAAAGTAACTAAAGCTCAATGCTAATCAATAATTCAATGTTATCATTTGATTGAAAAATTTGTCTCATACTGAATGTAGTCTTTTATTTTTGTCATCAGGGAAAACATAACTTCAATAGCACTGATTACCTTTATGTTGCTAAGTTACTAGTCTT